ATTTTAAAAAAAAAAAAAAAAAAAAAACCACAGGGTCCAAGGATGTAGCTCAGCAGTGCCTCGCCTGCCCGGCAAGCGCAAAGTCCTGAGTTTGATTTGCAGTACAGAGTAAAAACCAAAACAAAACGTATCTGGGAGGTAATTCAACCCAGAACCCTCGTGGTCCAGCACAGCCTCCCATATCCCACAGGTCCTCCTGTCTCACGTACCAGGCACCTGTCCCACTGGGCTCCTGCCGATCCATGAACACATCACACTGCCCGTCTTGCACTAGCGCTTGTTCTGCCCGCACTGCTCTCTCCCCTTGTCCGTGCCTGGTTCAGCTTAAAAGGCAGCTAAGTATCCCTTACCCAAAATGCTTGGGACAGAAGTGTTTCCGGTTTCAGATTTTTCTTCTGGAATATTTGCACAGACTTTATCAGTTGAACATTCTCAATGCAAAAAAATCTGTATTTGGGGGCATTTAGGATTTTAGATTTTTAGATGAAGGATGTCCAGCCTATAACTCCAAAAAAGCTCCTTTCTAACCTCCCAGTTTAAAGTGTTCCCTCGGATCCCGTGACCCCGTCCCAGTTCCCTTGCCACCCTGATGTCTTTGTTTCCCTGTCCCGTCTGTCTCCCTCCACCAGGCTGCCAGCTCCAGGGGCAGAGTCCTTTCCTATCTTTGTTCACTCCTGTAGCCCACTGCCTAGAATGGTGTCTGGCATTGGTGGCCCGACAAATCTATATAGAATAAAGGAATGAGCAAATTATTTTACAAGTAAAGGAATTTGTGGGTCCAGATCAGTAAAGTGATCACCCAGGACTCTCTCTGCCAAACTGTGTATCTTGGGTACAGAACAAGAATGTCCCTCTAAAGCAGTGACCAGCACACTTTGTGTGTAAAGGGCCAGAGAGCAAACATCTCAGGCTTTGGAGACTACACCATCCAGGGCCCAGAATTCACCTCTGCCACCTCTTCATGAATATGGCTATATGCCAAAAAAAAACCCATATTTACAGACACTGAAATTTGAATGGTGTTTAATTTAGTCTTCTATTGATTGTTTTTTCAACTTTTTAAAAGTGTAAAACATGTTCACAGAGGAGGGGCCAGGGATGGCAAGTCCTGAGTTCGATTCCCAGTAGTGGAGGAAAAAAAAATGTTCACAGCTTGCAGGACATATTAAAAACTCTTGCACACAGCTGGTGACTGGCCAGATACAGCCCACAAACTGCAATCTACAAACTCTACCTGTATCCAGCGGCTACGACACTGTTTTAGTAAAGTGCAGTGAGTCCCAGTGGCGTGTGCCAAGCCTTGAACTTAGCACTATTCCATAAAAGCACTTGCTATACTCGACAGGCATGCGGTGTATTTCCCCAAGCAGTAAGTAAGGCAGACAGAAGCTCAGCGATACTGAACTACTTGCTCAAGGTGACACAGAACTAAGTGGTAGCTTTAGGACTAGAATTCAGACAGTTTGATTATGTCAGGTAACAAAATGATACAGACAAGGATGTTTTTTAACAATAACCTAAAAACAATGGCTAACATGCCCGGAGCATTTTAAAGCACTACATTCACAGCTTCTATGCTTCTTAGCAATTCTACCAGGCAGGAATTCTTTTATCCCCGTTTTACAGGTGAAGAACTCTGCGAACAAGCAGTCACTCTGGCTCCTGAGTGCAGAGCCCAGCCTGCAATCCAGGCCATCTGCCCCTCCACCCATACGCCTCACTGCAGCCACATCCTGCCCAAGTCTCTGGGCACTTTGCCAGCCCCAGTCCCCGCCAGCCCCACTTACTGGCCACCTGCAGCCACACTGGGAACCACCAAGTCCCATTCCGCATCTCCTGGCAGATATAGTTGCCCTCATCCTGCAGGCTCAGCATCCCGATGTGCAGGGAGCTGCCGTTCACTAGAGAGAAGCGAGGCTCAGCTGGCACAAGGCTGGCATTTGAGGACAGAAGGAAGACGGGCTCCGAGTCATTCCGGTACCAAGTCACCAGGCCCCTGGGGCCCAAGATGTTGCCACAGTGCAGAGTGATGTTCTCATGAAGTTCACCAACGATGATAGCCTCCAGCCCTGTACAAGGAAAAGTCAAGCGGTCACTGCCTTCCCTCTACGTGGTACAGAGGACTCAATCCAGGGCCTTTGCACTGGCCTCCATCCTTAGCTCTTTTAATTTTTCTTATGCTGAGACAAGGTCTTAGTAAGTTGCTCAGGCTGAGCACAAATTTGCAATCCTCCTGCTTCAGCCTCCTAATGAACAGGAATTACAGGCATGTAACACCATGTTTGGCTATATTATTACCTTTCCTGATCTTTGAATAACCTCCCTTTTTGCACAGCCCCTCTGCATTGGGA